CGTACCACAAAAAAAAGAAAAAAGAAAAAAGATAGATATATGTATATGATTGGAAGAAATGTTTTTTTTCTTTTTCTCTTTCTTTTGGAGGCACTGGGGTTTGAACACAGGGTCTCAAATTTGCTAGGTGGGTGCTCTTACTGCGTGAACCACTCCACCAGCCCAAGAAATGCCTTTCTGTGCAGTTCTCACTACCTTTCATTGAAACTTCTTGTGCTTGTACATTTGAGACAAAGTGAAAGATTAACCCTTTCAGTGGCATATCAACCCTGTAAGTATAGTTCCTGTTATTTTCCACTGCAGGACCTTCCCTGGGCTGGGGTGCAGCATTTGCCTGGCATGCTCAGGACTTGGGCATGATCATGAGTACCACAAAACAAACAAACAAACAAACAAACACTCAATAAAAAGATCCTGCTTTTTTTTTTATGGTACTGGAACTCAGGACCTTCACCTTGAACCACTATGCCAGCCCTTTTAGTGGTAGATATTTTCAGGATAGGGTCTCTCAAACTACTTCCCCAGTGCTGTGATCTTCCTGATCTCTGCCTCCTGAGTAGCTAGGATTACAAGTGTGAGCCAATGGAGCCCAGCAAAAATCCTAATATTTATTAAAATTCACCTATTACTTTTTGTGTGTGGGGGAAGCAAATCTCATATAAATTTATGAGATCATCAATCCCTGTGCATTGTTATATAAATTTAACAGCTATCTAGTACAGATGTATGGCCAGGTAACACACAGAAGAAAGAAAAAAGAGGAAAGAGGTAAGTATAGAGACAGGCAAATAACTGCAGGATCTAGGGGTTAGAAAAAAAAAAAAACAAACTAGAACCTTACTCAGGGCGATTGGACAAATTGAGGAAAAAAGCACAAAACCATTATCAGTTACTTGTTTATAAAAAACCAAAAACCAAAAACGTGAGGGTTTGAGGTAAAGCAAGTCTCACTTTTTTTTTTTTTTTTTAAACAGGAAGCTTTGGGCTCTATGTGTCTATTTATATAAACAACGTTTGCTTTTTCCGTCTTGGTTTCTGCCCAGAAGTTGTTGTCTGAGTGCTACTTTTGGCTGTGCTTGACTGCTTTTTTAAAAAGAAAGGTAGAAAGAAAGAAAGGGAAAAGAAAAAAAATCAGACCTATGGCTACCTGTTCCTGTAGAGAACCTTAACATGTCACTTTCCCTGATGTCTGGTTAGTGAAAATGCTAAAAGCTACAAGGACATCATTTTTTTTTTTAATCAAAGGGTTGGTTTTAAAATAAAATAAATAAATAAAAATAAATTTCTGCAGTACTGGGGTTTGAACCCAGGCACGCTCTCTACCGCTTGAGCCACACTGCCAGCAAAGGGTTGCATTTTAACCAAAGCTTCCTTTGAGCTGACAAAATCTCAAGGAAGGTCCTGCCTCGCCCCACTGTGCTCCTGATGTCCGTCATTTCAATCCAAGTTTCCAGCTCTCTCAGGACCCAGTTCACTCTGCTTTCCAAATTGCCTTTGAATGTGAAATTTGAGAATTCCATCTGCCTGCCCCCTGCATTCCCCACCCTGGTGTCCTTCTGTCACTGCCTCCCATCTCATGTTCTCCTTGTCTGCTATGCATCCATCTTTGCATCCATTTCTTTCAGACTTCATTCTTCTTCCACTGTGACAGCTGCTTCAGTACAAAAGGAAGAGGAACCTTAAGGTTCACAAGTTGTTTGTGCTTTCTGACCAGATGTACAGTATTTGGTTAACATCCAACTTTTGCCACAAACACCTTGAAGCAGAGTGGGTTGGAGCTTGTGGCTAGCAACATTCACTGCTTGATGTCATCAGAAGTAAGACTCAGAGGTGGGGAAGCCAGCTGGGGTTTGCCCCATCTGCTTGTGACTCAAAAGAATACTAAGAGAAAGTGTGCATGGAACTCTACTGAGTAGCACGCACACTTGCATTTTCAGAATTTGTTCATTCCAGGAGAAAGGAGAATTTTCTTGAATCACAATCATGAAATATGGGAAAAGTTAGACTCAGAGTAGGATCAATTCAATTCAATTCAGGAAGAGAAAGTAAAGTGAATTTGTGGGTAGGCAGATGAGGCTGCTGTCTATTCTGGGCATCAGAAAGTATTCAATCTTGGGCTGGAGACATGGATTAAGTGGTAGAGCACCTGCCTAGCAAACATGAGGGCCTGAGTTCAAAACCCAGTACCACCCCCCAAAAAAACCAAAAATATTCAATCCCTAATGAGTATTTTTACCAAATCCTTACATTCCTCATTAAAGATTCACAATTTTGGTTTAAAAAATTGCTTTTTGTTAAAATATAAGCAGCAGGAGTGTATAGCTCCGTGGTAGAATGCCACTTGCTTAGCATGTGTGAGGCTCTGGATTCCATCTCCAGCACCACAAGAAAAAAAAAGGTGCATGGAGAACATTAGAACACCGAGCAATGGCAAAACACAGGAATTTGATCATGCAAAAGAGAAGTGAGAGTAAAACTCACTAGCAAACTGAATGCTGGTGGCTCACACTTACAACCCTAGCTACTTGAGAGACAGAGATTGGAGGATCGTGGTTCGAAGTCAGCCCCAGGCAAATAGTTCTCAAGACCCTATCTTGAAAGAACCCATCACATTAAAGGGCTGATGGAGTGGCTCAAGTGGTAGAGTGCACTGAGTTCAAACCCCAGAATTTTGGAAAACCAACAGTAAAGCAGTAGAGTGAAGGACAGCATAGAGAAGAGCAGGACCAACCAATATTGGTACTCAGTTTTCAAAGTGGGATAAAAGAGCGTTAATTCAGGTCTATTTTTGTTTAATGAAAAAGAAAAAGCAATAATCCAGTCAAAAGCTACTTAATTCTGAGAAAGCATTTTAAACTGCTTAATTTCCAACAGATACAATGTGAGGACTCAAGTGCCGCCTGGCAAGAAAGTCACTTCTGTGTAATGAGAGGGTCACGTTCACGAAGAGATCTTTTTAAATTGTTATTTTTCCCAGCTTCAAGGCACAAAATGACTTTTCACAGTCTTCTAAGGTAAAAAATTAGGTATGGATACTTTTATTATTATTATTGCAATCCTACAAATTTATGGAATATAATGTGATAATTTGATACATCTACCTAGTTTGCCATGGTCATATCAGAGTAGTTAGCATTTCCCTTTCTTGAACAATAAAGAACATAATACTTATACATATTTGTGAGTGATATTTCAATACACATATACAACAAGCACTGATCGAATCAAGGCAATTAGCATTTCCATCTCTTGTCATTACTTTGGGTTTGAAGCCTTACAGAGAGATTCTTAAGATGACTCCTAGAAACACTGTGCCTTCGGGGTTTCTCTGTCGTGGCTGCAATATGCATTTAAACATGAGTGATTTTAATTCTAGAGACTATGGTGCAGTGGAGAGTACATGCTCTGAGGCTTTTCCTAGTGTTTCTCTTTAATCAACTGTGTGAATTCCATTAAGTTAAATGGTTTCTTAACAGCAAGACTCCAACCCTCATTTGGCTAGTTTTTCCAGCAGTATGAAAAGAATACAGCTCCTGTTGTCACATGTAACTTGCTGTCACCTGGTTCTTGTTAGAATCTCATTGGCTCTTACAGGAAGTTATTGGTTTAGTCAGATAGAAGGGTTCATAATATATTAATTTGTCACTTAATAATATAGAATTTGGGGGCTGGAGATGTACTCAGTGATAGAGCTTGTGCTTAGTGGGCACCAGACCCTGGGTCCTGATCCTAGCACTATCAAGAAAAAAAAAAAAAAGAAATTTGTTCCATCACCATTGTGGTCTACTGACATCTAGGATAAAGCAGACATGCTTATTGTGAAAACATCTAGGCCCCAAGAAATATAAACAATGCATTTAAAAAATCCAGAGAATTATAGAATTAAAACCTTTGAATTAACAGAAATTTAGCTTTCTTAATTAAAGGTGAGGAAATTAAACTAGAACCTAATGAAGGAAAAGGACTTATCTGAGGATGCATAGTTACTGCTAGCCCCAGTACATGGGTTGTTGCATGTGGTGCTTCCTTTACTCCTTCATTTTAGACATTAGGGAAGCTTTCCAACTGTCTGTTAAAACTCATACCTGCATGTCCCAAATGAGAATATTCTTGAAACAATTTGCAAAATATAAGCTCTACTTGGGCATGTCCTAAGTAGCAACAACTCTAAGAAACTCAGACCAATGGTATAGTTTCACAATAAGTTGTCTAATTTGCTTTGTGGAGGTGAGCTAGCCCCAGTACTACCATATATGGGTAAGTATATGAGAGTTACTTTCCAGCCCTACTTCCTGATTGGACAATTGCATGAAAATTTGTATAGAGAATTGAGTCCAACTTCTATACCTGACATAGTCCTTTCTCTTTAGCCCCAGACTCTAAGCTTAGCAGAGGACATTATGTATTGCTAGTAGGATTGTATAATTTTTGGCTCTGTTGTTGAATCTTCTAGGACTACAAAAATTTCCATGACCCTCTTGTCAAGAAGATCTGTCAGACCAGGTGTGGTGATTCACTCTTGTAGTCCCAGCACTTAGAAGACTGAGGCAGGAGGACCTCAAGTTTGCGGCCAGCCCAGGCCACCTCAGTGAGACCCTGTCTCTCAATGCATCCCCCACCCCATCCAAAAAAAGAAGACCTGCCAGGCAAATTTTAGGATAATTCAAGCAAAATAAAATGAGTACAGAGGAATATGTAAATGATGTGAGTTAATGTAGGAAACTCTTGGAAGGAAAATAAATGTAGCTCTACAGCTAGCCTAAATAGAGGAGATAGCACCTTCTACCCTAAGATATACCTTTATCGGATTTAATAATTATGATTATTAACCTAGGGGATGGGGTTGTAGCTCAGTGATAGAGCACTTGCCTAGCAGGCATAAGGCCCTGGGTTCCATCCTTAGCACCGGAAAAGAGAGAGAGAGAGAGAGAGAGAGAGAGAGAGAGAGAGATTAACCTAAAGTTTATTCTCTCTCCAAATTTTTGTATGTAAGTCACATGGTCATTTATCCACTATGCCTATGATATTGGAAAGCAGCAAAACCATGCAATAATATAGACTTTGTATTTTAAGTACTAAAAAATGAAATAAATGTTAGAAGTTTCCATGAAATTATAAGGAGAAGGGGCAACAGCTGGACATTGCAGAGGAATTGGTTTAAGACATATTCATGTCTATGAAGAGCTGATAGTTGGAGAAGGAGGATCTCTGCCTTCTTCCTACCCACACATTCTTCCCTCTTCCTTGATGATCACAGACCATTGAGTCTCTGCAAATTCGCATCTTCACATGGAGGAAGTCGGAAGTAGTTGGAGCGACGGAGTCGCCTTGGGGGCAGACCCGCCATCTGTCGGCAAAGTTCATCTAGAGAAGAAGCAGAGTATGATGGGAATAAAAAGCAGGAAAACAGGAGGACTCTGGTTTTAAGGGAAAGAGAAGACTTTATATCTGTAGTAAAAACTCTGAGGAGAAAATGATCTGGTTTAAAACCTCAGCCATGGCACTTACTAGTTATTTGCCACTTACTAGAAAGTAACCTAACTTTTATCTCTGTAAAGTAGCATTAAAATAACTACCTCGATGTACATTTGTGAGTCTTAAAATGAAATAATGTATGCAAAGTACCTAGCATGAATGGCCAGAAAATGTTAGTTTCTTCTAGATACCCGACTCCCAGTTCTTCTACTCATGGACCTATTACATAGAAAAATGAAGTCCAACCATTCCATCTGCATTTAGGTGTTTATTTTGTACAACTAGCTAATTGCAGTAAATCCCCTGAGATACTTGCTAGAGTCCCAAGTACTCATCCTCAATGTCAAGGTGCTTCCCTTGCAGGTGGCTTGCCCAAAGACAATGGGGGCAGGCAGCAAGTTTCCTTCTGCGAAGTTAACTACAGCTCTTACTCAGGCACTCATTGCAAAGCAGGCTGCTGAGTCAGAAGTGGCTGTATCTGTGGTGGTGTCACTAACCACAGCCATCATTTGGGGCTGTCCAGGGGGAAGGTGAGAAGCGTGTTTGTTCCCACCATGCATGGTCTGTAGCCATACATTTTGGGCCCTTTGTAGAGTTATTCTTATAATACTTTTCTACCTTCTTCCACCTCTACCAGCAATGTAAATTGTTCCTGGAATTGGCGAACTGTTTATAATGTAGCTAAATGTCCCATCTATTTTTTATGGACTTTATCCAAACCTTACTGTCTCCAAATGAGTGTGTGTTCACGTGTGTGTGTGCTTTCTTTGCAGAGCTATGAACATGGCTGATAAGCCACATGGTTGTGGAGTCTATTATCTGTCTTGGCTCACCTGCTCTTTTCCTTAGAATTCTACTCTTAAGCTTCAGAAAGCTCCCTACTTAGGAGAAGTTGGGGGACTGTGATCTAGTTTGGAAAGGGATCTAGGAGTACTTTTGTTAGGGTCATGATTGTATATTGCTGCTTTACTTAGATTGGGGAAACTTTCAGCAGGAGCTGATAGAAGCTAAGGCAGTACCTAGACCCCGCCTCCAAAACCAGACCTTGGATCCACGAGCATCGTGACTCTGTCTACCTCTGTCATAACTGTCCTTCCCAGACATCAGCTTACCTTTCATAACTTCATGTTCCTTACAGACAAGACGGGAGCAGATCTCATTGTTGATGATGTACATGCGTCGTAAACTGCCACAGTCCCAATGTCATGGTGAAGGAAGGAAAGAGAAAAAAGTCTTGAGAGGGAGGACTAGTGAAGGTCATGGATGTCTCTTCAACTGTTGTATTCTCCACTCCCCGACCCCCTCTCTCCTCCCCTGTCTGGATTTGCATAAGGATTTCATGTATTAATTACTCTTCTTAGTGGCACTTGAGACATTCCACCTAGAGTCAACCCTAATACTCCCAGTATTTTCAGCCTTCAGAGCTGGGTCTTTCATAATACACCAGTGTTTCCCTCGTGACCCATCTTCCTCCAACTCTCATCTTTACTTACTTTTTGGCATCTACTGGTCTGTTCTCAGTATTCCTCAACACAGACCCCTGATGCTAGGCAGCACCTACAGGAGTAGCTAAGAGTTATGCTAAAAACTTCTGCCCCATCAAAGATTGCAATTCCATAGTGAGTGCTCACTAAATAGTTGCTGATTCAAAAACACTACCAGGGGAGGTGCTCTGTGGACATTGTGCATCCCGTACCTGGTGAAGCAGATCTGATGGACGCATTGCTTGACTGGCCGATGCACAGAGTACAGTCTTGTGCAAGCAAATTTTTCATCCCGGCATTCTGAAGAAGACCAACACAAAAAGCAGGGAGGTCTAAATGGGAGCATCATAAACATAGGATTACAGGGTACAAGGCTGGGGAAAGGAGATAGAATGGGGAAAAACAGAGTGGTCTCTACAAAGGCTAGATCATTGCAAGTTGGGGCATGCTCTTCCTGCTTACTAAAAGCATAGCAAGAGGAAATTGACTCAAATGAAAGTTAGGTGCTTCCCTACCTGGAAGCAGAAGTAGATAAAATAATCTCTGAGAACTCTTCTAGGAAAAAGAAAGTCTTTCTAGGACTATCTGGGTGACAATAGTAAATATTAAACTGAAATGCTGATAAGCTCATTCTGAAGAATGAAAATGTCTCTACTTCAGCTGCAGATCAGAATTTCCAGGACATTAGGTAAAGCAATTCTAGCCATGACGTCTATGGTAATATGGAGTTCTTGCAGTCAAGTTGATTTTATTTCCCCACCCATTAATCACTAAATAAAGTCCTAAAGTACTTCAGGGAAAGGGTGGTTTGGAGACCATTCAATAGTGGTTGTCTCATCCTTTCCTTGTGACTCATTAAAAACAAACAAACAAAAAATTGGGTGAGAGGAATAAAGAGCACTTTTTGACATAGAAATGGAAATAAACTAGGGAATGTACCACCAAGGAACAAGGAGGTAAAGAATCCATAGGAAGAAAAACCTTAAGAAAAAGGCATGCAAGGGCTGGCAGAGTGGCTCAAGTGGTAGAGCACCTGCCTAGCAAGCAGGAGGCCCTGAGTTCAAAACCTGGTGCCACAAAAAAAAAAGACATGGAAGAAGTAATCATACCTGCTGTGGCGTTTTTATCATTGGATGAGACTGGAAAGCAGAAATTTTATTCAGTTATTACCAATTCTAGAAGTTACCACTTCTGTGACTGTCAAGTTGCCTCACTTGGGACCTAGTTAATGTACTCCTAAATAGGTTATTGACAGATGAATTAATAACTCTTTTAGCAACCCCTATTGGGCTGAGTTGATCCACACAACTGAAGAGACTGGGAATTAAGGTGAGATTTTTGTCTTTCACCTTTCTCTCTTGCAAAGTTGAGGAATTCATTGTATTGATAAAAAGCAAAAAAGAATTTTTTACGTTTTTTAGAGGCAGGGTCTCACTATGTTACCCAAGCTGTCTTTGAGCCCCTGGGCTCAAGCAATCATCCTGCTTCAGCATTGCAAGTAGCTGGGACTATAAGCATCACTGTCACACTCAGCAAAAGAAGCAATATTAGTAGGAACATGAGGCAAAGAGTCTTATGCCCAGAAGAGTTTCATTCTAGATTTAAGGAGAAAACACATTATTGTTCTATAGGAGCTTCTCCTCACAAAGTTTCTTCTTTTTAGATTAGATACATCATCACAGGTTCTTTGATGAGAGTTGGTGAGTAAAGAATACCAAGGGTTAGATAGGCATGGTGGTGCATGCCTATAATCCCAGTTCCAAGCCAACCTGTGCTACATAGTGAGACCCTGTCTCAAAAAAACAGACCAGCCAGGTGCTGGTGGCTCATGCTACAATCCTATCTACTTGGGAGACAGAGATCAGGAGGATTGTGGTTTAAAGCCAGTCCAGGGCAGATAGTTTGAAAGACCCTATCTTGGAAATACTCGACACAAAAAAGGCTGGTGGAGTGGCTCAAGTACTAGAGCACCTTCCTAGCAAGTGTGAGGCCCTGAGTGCAAGCCCCAGTACTGCCAAAAAAAAGAAAAAAAAGAAATGCAGACCAAAACAAACAAACAAAATAACAGACAAACCTGAAGTTTAATTTGAGCTTAGTTTGCAGAATGGAGAACTGGCCAAGGAATTATATAACGTTGGGAAAATACTTTCAGGGGAGTTATCTGGGAAAATGTCATTGGAAGAGTTGCTGAAGGGAGACTAGGAAGTATGCTAGCTGAGTTCACCTACCCCATGGTTTCATGTCAGGTCCCTGTGCTGATAACTCCCAAAACTATGTTTCTAGCCAGGATCTTGCTCCTGAACTCCAGCTCTATAGTTCCAACTGCCATTTTACTCAATGGTCATTAAGTTTTCCAAAGACCCCTTAAATCCAATATATCTCAAACTGACTTAATTTCCTTTACCAATTTGAGTTGTTCTTCAGTGAATGGTCCCACCATCTACCACATAGCCACAGCTAGGAAACCAGCCATTGTCTTAACAATTCCTCTTTCTACAACCTCACATTTAACTTTCATTACCTCTACCTTGGTTTAAGACATCATCTTTTTGGGGGAACTACTGCCATAGCATCTTTTCTGGTTGTCTCAGTTCTAGACTGACATGGTCAAATCAATTTTCCACACTGTGCTGGAGGTAGGGCAAAGGGAGTGGGAATGGAGTGGATCTTTCCTTTGCACAAAACTGATCAAACCTTCCCCTATGAAAACCCCTCTCTGACTGGTCTTCATTTCCATCCTAAGCCTTTTACCCATATTGTTTTCTTTCTTTCTTTTTTTCCCGAAAATACTGGGGTTTGAACTCAGGGCCTCATGTTTGCTGGGCAGGTGTTCTACCACTTGAGCCAGGCCCTCCAGCCCCCATTCTTTTTTTTTGCCTAAAAGTTATTCCCCTTCTATTCACTTGATTGACTTGTCTTTCAGGAAGCAGCTAAGTCAACGTAGCCTGCAGAAAAGCCTTTCCTAACCCCCAATACTGAATATTGTCATGGACTCCTTCTGTTCTCCATACCTTCTTTTTGCTCACCTGATTATTGCATGTCATGGAACCAAACAAAAGCATCTGTTAGACAAAAGATGCCTAGCAGTAAGAATTCAGGTTCATACAACATTACATCCCTGGTACTTAGTAGCAGCTTTCAAAAACTAGGTTTTTGAAAGGCCCTGGGTTAGATCCTCAGCCACCCTCCAACCCACAAAATCTAGCTTCTGTCTCCTTTTTACTTCCTGCCACTTGAATTTTGCTATCAGGTCTTTGCCAATGTTGTTCCTTTGGCTGGAGTACCTGTCCTCTCCTTGACCAGCCCTTTCCTTTATCTTCCTAAACATTTGTTTATATATTTGTCTTGCCTTTACCCACCAAGTCTTTGAACATTGAAAGATCACATCTTGATATTTTATATATTAAACACCTAACAGCTTCCTGCATGGTAGGGGTTTCAAAGATATAATTAATTTAAATTGAAATGCTGGACGAATGTGCGACCTAAATTGTAATTCCGTTTAGGATGCTTCAGCAGCTGGACTGCCTTCCATACAGGCTCTGTGGAAAGTCTGGATTGGCCCTCATGGCCCTGGAATCCCAGATCTGAACTCACCCAGGTCATCTGTGGAAGGCTCGATATCAGCCAGAACTGAAAAGGCACAAAACAGCAGGTGTGAGGATGCTTTTGAATTCCCAGGGGAAAAACAGAGTAGGACAAGTGAGCATGGAGATATCATGGCAAGGTCAAGACTGTGGCTGTGTTTGTGTATTATGTTCAAGGAAATAGAATTCACTGAAGTTAATCAGGAATCTTTTTTGAAAAAATATCGATCCTATGGATATTAAGCTAATTTTTGGAAGTTTTTATTACCCATGCTTTATTTTAGCTATTTTTAAAATTTTAGCTATTAATCCACTTTGTTCCCTCTTTTTTTGAGGACTAGAAGGTCTCTCTTTCCTTTTATCTCACAGTCTCTGAATAACATTCTCATAATTCCTTTATTCAGAGCTAAAAAACATAGGATTAATTCAGGAGCTGGAACAAATATTGTGATATTAAAAAGGCAGGCCATTTTAAAAGAACTTTGGCAGAATTTACCTGTTTCATCTGTAGAAGGCTCATTCACTAGATCTGCAAAGAAACAAAACATGGAATGAAAAAGGCAGTAGGAAAAGTAGCTAAAGGGAGAAGGATAAGCGGATGATGACTGAAAGGGAGACAAGAAGGACTGAAAGGAAGGTCTGTGGACTTAGGAAAATATAAGGAGCTATTACAGAAAGACATGGAAGGAATAAGACCAGTGTGTTTGCAGTGACAGTGGCATCTAAGATGGGCAAGAGAGCTGACAGTGCCCAGCAACCCTTTTCCAGCTCTCCTTCCTTCCCTTCCTTCCTTCCTTCCTGGCAAGTATCATCCTCAATCCTTCTATCTCCAGTATGACTTCAAATAAATGAACAAAAAAGAGTGACTTACTGGGATCTTCTGTGAATGTTTCTTGAGTCACATCATCTAAAAAAAAATCAGAAAACAATTTCTGACCATTCTCTGCCCCACTTCGCTCTTGTACTATCAGTAAATGAAATTGTCTAGCACATCACCCAACACATCATTAGCTACCCAAAATTGTTTTTCCCTGCCTGCCTATAATAGTTAACAATGGATTGACAATCTCTTAGCAATACTTCTTTAAAATGAAAGTTATCTATGCCATCAAAGACATTCTGAATTTTTTTTTGAAATAGAGTCTCTATATGTTGTTTTGGAACTCGAGATCCTTCTGCCTCAGCCTGTCAAATGCTGGGGTTATAAGTGTAAGCCACCAGGCCCAGCTGACATTGTGATTTTGACATGCACACACACGTGTGGTGTGTGTGTGTGTGTGTGTGTGTGTGTGTGTGTGTTCTGGGGATTGAATCATGTTCTCTACTACTGAGCTACAATCCCAGTCCAACATTTCACTTTCTCTTTCTTTCCTTCCTTCCTCTCTTTCTTTTCTTTCTTCCCCAGGATTTTAAAAATTATTATTGTGTTAGGGATACAATGTGACATTTACAAAAGTTCTTACAATATATCATAGTTGAATTCTTTCCCTCCATCATTTTCCACTCCCTCTCCACACACATCTTATTTCTAAACGTATAGTAGAGTGCCTGCTTTGTGAGTGCAAAGCCCTGAGTTCAACCCCCCAGTCCCAGCCCAGTGCCAGTGGCTCACACCTGTAGTCTTAGCTACTCAGGAAGCAGAGATTAGGAGGATTACAGTTTGAAGCCAGCCCCCAGTAAATAGTTTGAGAGATCCTATCTCAAAAATACCCAACACAAAAGAAAGGGCTGGCATAGAGGCTCAAGTGGTAGAGTGCCTGCCATTCCATAAAAAGGTTTTAAGGGCATACATTTTAATTGCATGTGTTTAAGGTGTACAACATGTTGTTTTGGGGTTTTTTGGTGGTGCTGGGATTTGAACTCAGGGTTTCACCCTTGCTAGGCGGCACTCTACCACTTGAGCCAACCCTACAGCATAATGTTTTGATGTACCTATACAAAGTTACATAATTACAGAGAGTCAAATTAATATATCCATGTCCTCAGATAATTACCTTGTGTGTGTGTTATGACAAGAGCATCTGAAAGTTATTTTCTTTGCAAATAACATTTGAATACTGTATTTAGCAAGTAAGTTTGCAATTATCCTTCAATGTAGTTTATAGTCATAATCCATCTTGCCCAGTAGAGGTCAGCAAATTCACATAGTTTGCTACTTCACCCCCCCCCCTTTTTTAAACTTCAGATTCTAAATGTCAGATTTAAATCCAGTGAGAATCAACACTTTTATAAAGCATGTTGGAATTATGCATAAGTGCAGGACAGGTGAAATACAAATAAGGCATTTCATAGGTGTTTCCTCTGCTTACTTCATCCTTTTTTCCCTAAATTCCAGATATGACAGATTGAAATTAATCAGATGTGACAAGTGTGTATGTGTGTGTGTGTGTGTGTGCACGAGTTGTGCCCTGGGGATGGAACGCAAGCTAGGCAAGCCCCAGCTCTGAGTCTCTATCTGTAACACTATAACCTTTCTTCTTACAATACAAGTTTTGATAAAAGAAATCACGTTTGTTCCACTTCCATAGGATATTTGAAAAATCACTGACTGCAACCATTGCAGAGACTTTGAGAGAGGGTGGAGCCCAGCCCCTCCTGTTCATTCCCTTTCGCCAGAGGCCTCACTACATTCCAGTCCAGCCACGCACAGAAAAGGAGGGAAGTCACCCGGGAACGGAGTTTGATTACACATCATGGCTGTTTCTGGGATTTCAGGCCATAGTACCATTTTCTGTGTATTTCTCAGTTTACCCAACTTTTCCTTGAACCACCATCATACAAGTGCTTCCTCTAGGATTCATGGAGTTCCTAAAAAAGAATCCTTGAGATATTGTCATCATAATGTGTATTTGTTCTGCTGGAAAAACAGATTGGTCCTTTTCTCTCTCTCTTTTTTTTCTTTGGTGGGACTGGAGTTTGAACCCAGGGTTTCATGCTTGCAAAGCAGGTACTCTACCACATGAACCACACCTCCAGTCCAAGACTGGTCCTTATCCAGCCTAGAGAAATCAATTCAGTTTTAGTTTTGCTGGTGCTAAAAATTCATCTAGCTTCAAAAAGGTTTTTATTTCTATATTTTTATCTTCTGTACCTGCAAGAAATAAGTATTATATTGGTGCCATATATACATATATAAAACTGAAATATTTTTATAAAATAATATTTAATTCTTGAAAAATACATGAGGTGCATTCTGAGAGATTTGTTTTAGTTTATCTTAGTTTATTTAAAAAATATCAGTCATGACCCATTAAGTTGATTTTATGACTCATTAATGGCTTGCAAACTACAGTACGCTATTCTTTAATTCCCATGGCTTGGGAAAAGTAAATAAATAAATTAGAATTATGTTTAATGCCTTGAGGCTGGGTGGAGTTTCCTTCATCAGACTGAAGGAATTAGACCTTTAGAAGCCAAAACATTTGGGTTCTGTCCAGTTGTGCCACAATTTCACTGTAGAACTAGGATGTCTTCATGCTCTGTGTTTGCATTTTAGTTGTCTATGGTTACATGGACAGAATAATGTTTCCTGGGGGCTGGCGGGGTAAGCTCAGTGGTAAAGGGCTTATCTAGCATGAGTGAGGTCCTGGATCCAATCCCCAGCACCCCAAAAAGTAATAAATTAATAAAATAGACTTCCCCAGACATTAAAAAAGAAAAGATTTGCAGATGTAACTCAGTGGTAGAGTACTTGCCTAGCATCTTCAATGCCCTGGGTTCAATCCCCAGTACTGAAAAGAAGAAAAAGGAAAAAAGAAGGACTAATGTTTTCTGTAAGGATTAATGGGTATTTTTTTTTTCAGTACTGGGGTTTGAACTCAGGGCCTTGTACTTGCTAAGCAAGCGCTCTACCAATTGAGCCACACCTCCAGTAATTAATGGTTTTTTTCTTGAGTGAGATGAGAGCTGTGTAGAGGAGAGTAGAAAGATGCTTCAGTCGTGGAACAGCAACAACAAAAAAGACAGGAAGTTCAAACCCCAGTCCCACCAAAAAACAAAAGAAAAGACAGAAAGGATTTATGAATGGGGTAATAGGATTATGGAAACTGGTGAAGTAGTTCCTATTTCTCACACCTTGGCAATGTATCTCTGTGTCTTAGGGCAGACTCTAACTCTTACTATTCACTTACATTATCCTGATAAGAACCCGGACAGAGACCATACCCAAGGATTCACCTACCTCCTCGTTGACCACTGACCCCTAGGTTTTTCCACTCTGTAGCAAAGGAAGAAAAGGGACGTGAGCGACTCCAGCTATGCACCCCACAACCCTTTATTAAGTGAACTGGAGCTTCATGGAGAAACGGTTGCCTGCCATAGTTGTGATTTATTCCCATATAACTCAACACAAAATTACTCAGACCACAGTGCTATGCACAATCTGATAGGAATAAAACACTCAAGAAAGACAAGTTCCGGAGAACAAAGCCTTGCTGTGCTGTGCCCTGACTTAGGGCGCCCTCTTGCTCTCACAAACCAGGAGTGGGTCCTGTCTTAGCCAGACAGCTTTTCATTAGCTATACTACTGAAAGAGGCAGAAGTATTTTCTCATTCTGTATCTAGCAGAAAGAGAAAAAAAAGTTACAGTAGAATTTCTTTAAAGTCTGAGGTTACTTTTTATGACCAATCTCGTACTTAGTTTCTGTAAAATCTGTGAAGATCATTGCTCTTTTGTATGTATTTTTCTTCCACAAATATGAATATACTTGTGTGTATACTTGTGCCATATTTGTTAGCTGTTAGTGTTAGTGTCCCTGTTGCTTTCCTTCCAGATTTAAATTTGCTCCTATTTCTCACTAGGTGTTCTCTATTTGTTTGTACATACATTTATATAATAGCTTCTTATTCGTTTAGTATTTGTTTACTTGTAATTTAAGTGTGTGACTTCCTTTTGGTCAACAGATATGTGTGTGCACATCTTACTTTCACCTTAGTTTCATCACTTTCAGGATACCTTCCTCCAGGTTTAACACAAAAAAATCTTTGACACAAAAATCTGTTCTTTCCTTCTGTTTAATAGGAGTTCTAGAGTTCAATACCAAGCATTCACCTCTCATTCCCCTTCAGTCTTGGTCCATTCTACCTTCGAACACACAGCCCCGCACACATGGTGTAGCTGAGGAGCTGACATTTTAGAGAAAAGAATCAAAGTAGGACTCACCAGAGGAGATGATGAGGGCAGCGAGAAACAGCAGCACGTTGGGGCCCGAAAGCAGCATGCCTGACGGGATTGATGGAGAAAGCAGAGTGCGATGCTCAGAGACACGCAGGTGTTTCACTCACAGGGAAAGACACCTCTGCAGCCCTATCCCTTTGTCTCCCCAGGTGCTTTCTCTGTTTTCCCTTATAACTCGAATCCTTTCTTTTCTTATCTTTCACCCAACATTTATTTCTTCCCCCAAATCTATTTTTTTTGGTCACTTGTTATAATTCTCACTTGTATTACTATTTTTTTACCAAGTCAGAAGAATTTTTTTTTTTTTTTGAGATGGGGTTGTCTATTGCCCAGGCTGATCTTAAACTCTTGGGCCCAAGTGATACTCCTACCTCATTCTCCTGATTAGCTGAGACTATAGGCACGTGCCACTGTGCCTGGCTTTTAGAGGAAGTTTTTATTGTAGTCCATACTTGATCCTACTCTGTGACCTCTTTCTCCTCTAGTACCTAATCTTCCTTTTGTTTATTTCTGTCTTTTTCATATCATCTACTCATCTTGAATTCCATGGATAACTGGAGGAGGGGGGTCTGCTCAATTATAAATTCAGTGACATTCCCCACTGCCCCTCTCTAGCCTTTAGTACACACATGCACACACACACACACACGCACACGCAGACACACACACGCAGACACATGCATGCACACATTCCCTCTGTCTATTTACAGGTTTACAATCAAAGCACTCACTGTCTACAATGCTGTGCTCTTTCCACCGTGTCCTTTGGCTGCTGAATGTGTCTGTCCTTCTCACACTGTTTCAGTTGGGCTGGAGAAAAAGATGAACAGAGCCACGCCCTGGGAAGGACTTCAGATTTGGCCTACTCTGAAACAATGAGATGAGGGAAAGCAAGAGAGAGGGAGAGAGAGGAAGCCAAGCTGAAGGCGTAGAGGGCAGTGTTACAAGAAGGCAGGGATAAGAGGGGAGCTGGGAATTTGCAGTCACTCACACCCTCATTCCAAAGGTTATGACCACACTGGTGAGAAAGCTTGCTGCTCCCTGGAAGGACTGGCCCCAGCTCATGTCTGCCTTTCTGCCATCATCCCCCTACCCTCCTTCTCTGGCCTCAGCCTTCCTTTACTCCTTGGGTTCTTGCTTACTAAATAGTTCCCTCTCATGCTTTACTGCACCTTACCAGACTCTGTTTCTATCTCTCTGGCTTTCTTCCATATCGGAATCATTTTCCATTCTCCCTGTCTTTCTTTCTTTTTTTTTTTTTTCTCCCTGTCTTTCTTCTTAAAAAATTCATCTCTACACCACCAATAAATTTCTTGGTATTCCTGTATGTATTTTTTGTTTCCATCTTTGCCTCTTTCTTGACCCACACATCAGACTCTTGTTTTCCCTCCTGGGAATATCCTATTTAGTCTCACATCCGAGCAAACACAGACTCTACGTGAGTTTTATCCAAGAGAAAGGCTGGCTGTCTTAGCCTTATAAAAAGTTGAGGCACTCAGAACTCTCTGAATCTTGTTCCAGTGTGGAAAAGCTCCATGAGAGAAGCTGCCAGCCTGATTCTGCCTTTGCTCTGGTTTTAGTTTATGCTAACTAAATCTAAGATTCTGAAAATCTTAGATTCTGGAATCTTAAGGGCAAAATGCCATAAGAAACCCAAAGAAAATTGGGGGAGAAGTTCCTTCTTCTTGCCTCATTTTCTATCAGTATTTTTCCTCAGATCATGTAATAGGTAGACAACAATCTCAGATCCAGGAATTTTAAACACTTCTTATTTGCTCTTCTTCATAGAGTTCTTAGACCACTAAAACATCCCAACTTTGGAAGGAGTAAATTTGAAGTATGGAAATTCAAGTCTGAGGAATATTTGACCTATGATGCAACACAAACATGGAAGTTTCAATTTATCAGCTAGCTTCTTTAGTCTATGTTATGAACATCCTTGATCAGCCAAATTAGAGAAAAGTGAAGGTACACAGGGAGCACATAGTATTAATAAATTGTAGACTGGAAAGAAGAAAGAGTAAATATGGAAGGAAGGAGGGAGTAAAGAAAGAGAGAAAGAAAGGGAAGGAAGGAGGGAGGGAGGGAATGAAGAGGGAAGGAGGGAAGGAGAAAGAGAGGGAAGAAGAGAAAGAATGGATGCTAGTCAGAAATAAATTATTCTTCTTAAGCACTCCTCACACCTCTGAGGGAGCTGTAGTGTTCTGTTTCTGCATCACATGGATCTGGTCAGGGCCTATAGCAAATCTGAGGACAAAACCCAGCTCTTGCAAATTTGCCTCGCCCAGAATTTACCCTTGTTCCATTTGCTTCCCAGTGAGGGGGCAGAGGCTAGAAAACAGATGTTGATTCTAGTCTGGGGAGAGTCAGGGAAAGAAAAGGGTGGGGGGCAGCAGGACATGAGGAAGAAACAGAAAAGCAGCTGCAGAGCAGACTAAGGGAGGCATAGAATACAGAGCCTAGAGCAATGGTCATGTTTTCCATGAAGTTCAGACAGATGGGAAACTGAACTCAGGCCAGTCATTTGGCAGAGAGACCAATGACCTCAGTGTGCTGGCCTAGCTAGAGACTATAGTTTAGGAAAACCTCCCCAGGCAGTAGGAGGGGGTGCTCTCCTGGGGTCACAGGGAGAAATCTGAAGTAGGGCAGTGGAAATAGAACAGAATGTTCAGAGCAGGGCTCAAGGATAGGTAGGCAGGGAGCAGCACCTTTGGAGGAAGGGAGTGGAAGCCAGGCAGAAACTAGCAGAAGAGCAGAAACAACCATATCTTGCTGGGCTTCAGAAACTTTCAAGAATTTGTGCTTAGTATGGTGGTGCCTCCTGTAAAGCCAGCATTCAGGAGGTTGATGTAGGCAGATCACAAGTTCCTAGCCAGCTTGGACTACATAGAGAGTCCCTGTCTCTCCAACTTGCCCTCCACCCCCCCAAGAAAAAGAAAAAGGAAAAAAGCAATCTAGTTTGTTTTAAGGTAACTATCTTAATTAATTTCTTCATGGTGGCCATTTTTTTTCTGGTACAGTTTTCCTTTTTTTTTTTCTTTTTCAATACCTAAACTCTGCTTTCCAGACTTGGACACCATCAGGTTTATTTTTCTCGTGGTGAACTGGTCAGCTCTGTTCAATTGCAACATCAATTTATCATTTAATTACATCAACTCAAAATCAACCCCAATGGCCAGAAATGAGCACATGCCATCCAAAGATAAAAGCATAGAATTTTCTTTTTCTTTTTGAAACTTTAAAATCCCACATTGCTTATTGCAAAAGTGAATGCTGATCCTCATGATGGGTCTATCTGTAGGATTTCTGGTAGTGAGCACCAGCACCATGGGCGTCAAATTTTGGATTTGCCGTGAAGAGGGCAGGCCACTAGCAGAGTCTTGTCACACTGGATGAGGGGGTGTTTGGAAGCCTTGGGAGCCTCATCCATGTATTTCTGGTCACAGGCCACCAGGGCTTGGGAGATGGACTGACAGATAGCCAAGTGTGGGCCAAATGACCACCACCCTTCCCAGGGATGCGGATGTCCAGGCCTGCAAACCGCTCCTTGCCCAGAGGCAGAACAGGCTCCAGAAACTTGTGTTGCAGCGTGCACAGCTCCAGCATTGCCAGGAACCCAGGTTCACCTCCTTGAGACCTTTCCCCTGTGCAGTGGGACACATGAACATCATGATTTCAAAATCCTTGCCATGCAGTACCACAATTGGAAAACCTTGTTTATTTATTTATTTTATTATTATTACTATTTCTGGTGGCCCTGGAGTTTGAACTCAGGGCCTCATGCTTGCTATGCTTTTACCACTTGAATCACTCTGCCAGCCCTTTTTTGTGATGGGTATTTTCAAGATAGGGTCTCTTGAACTATTTCCCCAGGGTAGCTTCAAACTACGATCCTCCTGATCTCTGCCCCCTAAGTAGCTAGAATTTCAGGCATGAACCACCTGCTGGAAAAAAAGAATTTTAAAAAGATTTTCCAACCAGGTGCTTTGGCTCACACCTATAATCCTAGCTACTTGGGAGGCTGAGATCAGATGGATCTGAGGTTCAGTCATCCTGGGCAAATATTTGGTGAGACCCCCATCTCCAAAATAACCAGAGAAAAATGGACTTGAGGTGTGGCTCAATCTATAGAGAGCTTGCTCTGCAAACATGAAGCCCTGAGTTCAAACCTCAGTCCCACTAATACAAAACAAAAAATTATTTTTTCAGACTGGTCTTGCTTTATAGCCCAGTCTGGCTGGGAACTTATGATCCTCTTCCCTCGGCCTCCCCAGTACTGGGATTACAGGTGCTTGCCACAGCAGTGATTTAAGCCTATGATTTTCTGAGGTTCTCTCTGACTGTGGAGAAGAACTCGTTGGCCACCAGTCCCTTGTTCCTTCCCACATAGGGTAGGTCTGAGGGTGGAGAACACATTTGCCAGCAAAAGGAAAACCCTGTATGAAACTGACTGGCAAAGGTAATTGATGTTTGAGTTACCCAGAACATTTTTTTTTTTTAAAGTTCCTTGGAAGACAGATAAAATGCAAAGAAAAAAGAAGAGAGGTAGAGATAGGAGACAGCAAGCTGGCTTTATTCATCTGTTTATTGGCCCATAAAGAATACACCCATTACTGAGGGCCACTGGGCAAATGTACAGAAATGCTATTACAGTCAAATCCAACTAAATTAAATCCAGGGGCTAAACACAAAAAAAATTCCCATAAAAGGAAAGAAAAGATGGAGGAGGGTTATATGAGGTAGGGAGAGGGGAGGGAGAGGGGGTGGTGTGTAGAGCACTTTAGCAATAAGGGCCAAATGCAAAAGATGGAGTTAGAGGCCAGAGACATATGTCCTTAGAAAACTTGGGCTGGGAAAACTTGGGTTTGTCCCTCAAAATTCAGTTTGTCTTCTCCTTCAAGCCTTTCCTGGTCCCCCCCACCACACTTAAGAAGAGTTAATCATTCTCTCTACTGAGTGACTGGTTTGTTTATTTTTATAATCTCATCATCATTATTAAACTCTTTTACATATCTTTAATCTCTGTTAGGCTGAGTTCCTTTCATGGCAGAGGCTAAGTCTTACTCATTACTAGATGACAGAATGGTTGGACAAGAGAGCTCAGAATTTGGTCAACTGAATTGAGTTGAGATGAAGACTTGAATCAGTCACTCCCCATTTTTGAGAATAAACATTCAAAAGCTTAGTCAAAAATTGGGCTTGGAGGAGTGGCTCAAGTGGTAGAGCGCCTGCCTACCAAGTGTGAGGCCCTGAGTTCAAACCCCCATACTGCCACAAAAAAAAAAAAAAAAAGTTTAGTCAAATGAAAGAGGATAAAGCATTAGGGAAGTAAACCATTACAGGGAGTCCAGCAAGTGGAACAGGTAGCCAATGTTTTGAAGTGATACGAAGGGAAAAGAACAAAAAGAAATAGGCCACCCAAGGCAGAGAAATTGGGCAACAGCTGTTCTAGAAACAAAGGAATTTTGGAAGTCAGATTGTAAAATCATTATATTCTAAACGTATATAATTTAGCCAGATATGGTGGTGCATGACTGCAATCCCAGCATTCTGGAGGCAGGAGGATTTTGAGTTTGAGACCGGCCTGGGCTACATAATGAGACCCTGCCTCTAAATAAATAGGTAAACAAATAACTAATATGAAATACTATAAATTAGCTATTATAATATAGCAGCTTCTTTTTTTTTTTTTTGGTGGGACTGGGGTTTGAATTCACAGCTTCAGGTCTGCAAAGCAGGCACTCTACCACTTGAGCCATTCTTCCAGTTCTACATATTA